TTTTATTTAAGTAAATTATGCTTTTTAAGTTTTCACTTTAACTTTAACTAAGTTGCTGCTTGCCACTTGTCTCTATACTTCAAGTTGTCTGAAAACCAGGATTGCCAGGCTCCAGTCCTGGAGGGCCAACCCCCTGTCTAATGTGGGTTTGATCTCAAATAAACTCCAGATCAAACCTATTTAAGTCATTCAGGCTTGCCTACAGGTAAGTGTATTGAGTAAGTGTTAGATGAAAACTCTGATGGCTTTGGCCCTCCAAGGAATTGAGATTGACACCATTTTGTAGACATTTCAAGTCTCACTTGAATGCTAATGCTACAGTAGACTACACATCTGGATTTACCTTCAGATCTATGTGATCACACAGATGATGTTTACTGATGATAGAGGGTGACAGAATCATTTAGCTGTGTTTTTGTAAGAACTACTAGTGCAAAACTACTAGGGCATCAATTAGCAAAACATGTTTATAATGAAGCTATTGAAATGGCCTGCATCAATCCACATCAATCAAATCAATTCCACTTTTACGCAGCCATTTAATTCACATCTTTGGATGGAAACATAGTAACTGTTAAATGTTTAGTATGTCATCATGCATTGACACTAACCATATTACGTCATCCTGGATCGTTACACAACTGATTAACATGTTTTATTTTATTATTTAAGTGAAGTGCAATATATTTACACAGAGTGTAAAATAGCAACTATATTCTATTAACACTCAGTGTAAATGGCATATACTTTTAACACTGAGTGTAAATAGCATCTGTTGCTTAGTGCAAATAGCCACTGCCATTCAAAGAAAAATACTAACACACTGCAAACAGTCAAAGAAGATGTTTTGGGACAAAAGACTAATTACAAAAGACTTTACATGAATCTTGCTTACACCATGTTGGGCCTTCTTTTAACTTCACAATTACATAAATTGTTCATGGTATAGATTCAATTAGGTGCTGGATGCTTTCCTTAGAGAGTTTGGTTCAAATCAATTTACAGCATCACATGGTTGCTAAAAAACTGTTTAAAACCAGTTTGAGATTATTTGAAGTTCAGTGTGGTCAAAATGCTCAGGTGCTTAATGTCAGCATTTGGTGTAAAAGCTTTCTTCAAATGAGATATGTTGTTAAAAAGATAATTATACATATTATTATTATTATTTAACTTAACTCACCATAAGACATATAAGCTAAGACCCTGTAAGAAAAAATGTAAGACCCTGAGTAGAGCCCTGGTCTCCTCAACTCTTTTTAGGACATCTGAAAATGATAAAATACTTAAAATTGTTTTCAAAAAGTCCCAAAAACTGATTTTAATTCTTCAAAAATCATGAAGGTAATAAGAGAAAGCAGTTCAGCACCAGACAATCTGCTATATTGAGGACCATTAACACAGGACTTGGCTGCATCTAACAATCCTTGTTAAAAGGACAACCTCCAACCATTTCAATTAGCCCAGAGGGCAAACTGAATGTGGGTGTTTGAATCACAGAGAAAGAGAGAGAATTAGTGATCAGATCTACAACACTGGTGACCTTTTTTTTATCTTTTGTTAATACATAGCAGATTAGCATTTTATTATGAGATAGTGACTTATGGCTCGAGGTGTGTTGAAGGTGAAAAGCAGAAAGAACATGCCAAGCAATGAACCAAAAAAAAAAAAATACAAATCTTTGAGCTTTCACTATAACTGAGAACAGCCACAAGGGAATCAAAAATAAAAGGCAAGGCAAGTTTGTTTGCGTTTATATGTGTTTTCAGTCTTGATTTTAATGTGCCTAATGTTGGAGCACATCTGATCATTTCTGGAAGCTGATTCCACCAGTGAGGGGCGTAATAGCTGAAGGCGGATTTACCCACTCTTGGAATTTCTAGTTTATTTGATCCTAAATATCTGAGAGATCTGTTACATTTGTATTCAGCAGTGGTGGAAAGAGTACTGAAAAATCATACTCAAGTAAAAGTACAATTACTTGCCTAAAAATGTAGTGCAAATACTTTAAACGTATCTGTTGAAAATATTACTCAAAGTATGAGTAAAGAGTAGATCTTTCAAAAGTACTCGAGAGTAGTGAGTAGTGTGTATTACGCTTTAAAAAAACTTTACTTGTAATTTGTGGAAGTGTGTAAATGTAAAATTGGACTCGCAGGACTGATTTTTCTAATCCCCATAGACAAGAAAAAAAAAAGTAGTGACTGCAGGTTGAAGGAAAGTAGGGGAGTAAAAGTACCGATACTGCACAAAAAGAAAAATGCAAATATGGGGAAAAAGTACACATTTTTAAAACTACTTAGTAATTTACAATTCCTGAAAAAAATACTTAATTACAGTTGTTTTAGTATATTTATTTAATTAGTTACTTTACACAACTGGTATTCAGTGAGCATATCTGTAATGTATTGAGGTCCTAGGCCATTTAGTGGTTTATAGACAAATAATAATACTTTAAAATCTAATGTGAATGTCACTGGGAGCCAGTGCAAAGACCTGAGGACAGGTGCGATGTGCTTTGATTTTCTGGTTCTGGACAGAATCCTGGCAGCAGGGTTCTGGATGAGCTGCAACTGTCTGTCTTTTTAGAAAGGCCAGTGAAGAGTCAATTACAGTAATCCACCCTGTTGCCGATGAAAGCATGAACATGTTTCTCAAAGTCTTCACTGGGAAAAAAGCATCTAATTCTTGCAATGTTTTTGATAGCATGCTAATTTAATTACTGCTTTGGCATGACCACTGAAATTCATATCTGACTCCAGAATCACACCAAGTTTCTTGGCCTTATTTTTTGTTGTTTGACCCTCAGAGCCAAGGTAAACATTTTCTTTGAGAACCTCATCTCTGTTCCTAAACGCAATGTCTTCACTTTTCTCTTTGTTTAGTTTTGACACATCCAGCTGTTAATTTCATCAATGCATAGGCAGAGGATGTCAAAAAAAAAACTATATATAAAATAAAAGAAATTATACTATATAAAATCGTAGACGAACACACATACACAAAAAATTATATTATAACATTTATAAATAATTATGCAATAATACTAATTTTCTGTGGTGTTGCTGAGACGAGTAGATTCATGAATAAAAAGGTTCATTACAAAGGCAAAGTCTTTGCAGTCATTAAGACATGAATGTGTCACCTCAACCCTGTTGCACAGTAATTAACAATAATACCTCATATTAAATTCTGGCCCTTTACAATCCGCAAACCAGCAACTTCACAATGACCTCATTCCTATTCATTATAGTTTTCCAGATAATCCATATTAAAAGACTCAAGGACTGAAAAAAATCATCACACACTGAAATATTATAGCATAATCATAATTTCAGTAAATGGTTACATAGTTGCTTTAAATGAGATGATTTCTTGCACAAAGTGTATTTTTTTTATATCAAAAACTTACTTAAAAATGTCACATTTTGTTTGAAATGTTTAGTGTCGCTGCTTATGACATGACAAATCTTATGTCCTTGAAGATGTCAAGAAATTGAAAGAAATGAATCCAGAGAGTTATGAAAAGAACAAGTGCAAGAAAGATTACATTGACTAGATTTGATGTGGGTGTAGTCTTTATATGAGCCAGCCACTTGTGCATCTTATTTGTTCAGAGAGCAGGTTCGGTTCACTCCTGGTGTGCACATATCAAGATGTATAAAAGAACCTTTGCCATGCTAAACAGTGACACTCTAAATGGCCTCCCAACTGGCAGCTTTTGTGTTGTGAAGAGGACCAGCTTGTCAGCTTCAAAGGTAAAATTTATGTCAAGAAGAGCAGCACAAAACAACTTTATGAAACGGCTGCTTTTGAAGTAATGTGGCCTTCTCCTTCTGGTGATTTATGTGTAACACGGCATCTCAGACAAACACTCACACAAACACACACACACACACACACACAGAGAGAAAGAGAGAGAGAGAGAGAGAGAGAGAGATCAAGCAAGCAAATAAGGATTCTAATATATAATCATTTATAATCTGGCAAATAAAATGTGTTGATTTTATTCATTCATTCATTCATTCATTTTCTTGTCGGCTTAGTCCCTTTATTAATCTGGGGTCGCCACAGCGGAATGAACCGTCAACTTATCCAGCAAGTTTTTACGCAGCGGATGCCCTTCCAGCCGCAACCCATCTCTGGGAAACATCCACACACACACACACACATTCACACAGACACACACACTACGGACAATTTAGCCTACCCAATTCACCAGTACCGCATGTCTTTGGACTGTGGGGGAAACCGGAGAACCTGGAGGAAACCCACGCGAAGGTAGGGAGAACATGCAAACTCCACACAGAAACGCCAACTGAGCCGAGGTTCAAACCAGCAACCCAGCGACCTTCTTGCTGTGAGGCGACAGCACTACCTACTGCGCCACTGCCTCGCCCGTGTTGATTTTAATGTGTTGATTTTTAAACTAACATTAAAATTAATCACTTAACTGACCCTATAGCCATCATGATTCTTTTAACTGTCTGTGCATCTATTTCAGCAAAACGTATAGAAAGAAAGAAAGAAAGAAAGAAAGAAAGAAAGAAAGAAAGAAAGAAAGAAAGAAAGAAAGTTAAATTTATTTAGCAATTTGTTGTTACACAAGTTTTATGTAAAATGTTATATTTTATTTTGTTTACTTGTTTGTTTACTTTTTCATTTCAAACAAATCTGCATTAAATGCACTTTAAAATTCCTAGCTTTCTTAAATGTTTCAAGTTAATGTTTGATACTTGAAATAAAAGACTTAATTTTAATAGTTAATAATGGATGACCACAACTTAAAAAATAAAAATAAATGTAGATAGAAAAGAGATACCTCTCTATCACCACTAATTATGGAGCTCCTGAATAACCCCTGCCACATTAGAAAGTTACATAAAATACCAATACCTGGAAATTAATTGGTTGTCAAACATGTGAATAGCAACATAAATAAATAAATAAATAAATAAATAAATACTACTACTACAACTACTAATAGTAATAAATATAATAAACCAGGATTTAGCAACTGATTAGGCAAATGCTCCTCAGCTGGACAGCATCATGTTTTCTGTAGTTTGACTAACAGACTTGGATTTCATTTCTATACGTTGGAGTAACATTTGTTTTAATGTTAAAAAAGTGAGGATGTGAAGCTATTTTATGCTGTTATGCTTGAGTATTGTGAAAAAATCTGATACATAGAGACATAAATTATTTACAAAGTGAAACATACTGTAATATTGTACTTTCCTTTCCTTTTCTTGAAAACTGAATTAGCTTTAAAAAGAATTGAAGGCACATATACAACACACACAAGCACACGACTGATTTGATTAATCTGTTCTTATTTAACACAAACACATGCACGCGCTGAAACATGCGGTGACTAGACATGATTTTACTGTAAAAACATTTAATTTTCAGAAAATTATACAGTTATACTGCCCGAGTTGAAATTCATATCACTTTAAAATAGCATACTTAAGCCAAGGCAACTTTTATTTACTATAACTATCTGTTTGACTGCTTGACTTTCATTAAATGTTTTGATCATATATTGGTAAGTACCACAAGTGCAATTCAAATTATGTAAGTCATTATATTCTACACATATATACAAATACAGTTTACAATTTATTACAATAAATAACAACATTTTTAACATAAATGTATTTTCTATTTTACATACAATGATTTAGCAAAATTCACTTTGGGTTATTGGATATTTTTCTACATACACAGCAATCTTCTTTGTTGATTTAACTGTAGCGTAGTAGCGTGCAAATCATAGTTGTATGCAAACCCATCAGCTTTTGTTTCATTTTACACAGTTTGTGTAGTTATAATAACTTGTATAAGGCTTAATTAAATGTTAAAAAAGCTAAATCAGTTACTTATTTTCTCTTTTAAGTTTATACAGTCCTTTGTACAGTATACATTTTAAAGAAGTTAAAGCGTGTACACATACCTCATTAAACACGAAGCAGAAAACGGCAAACTTCAGACAAAATCTGCCCTCTGCATAATATAAAGAAGCCTAAAATACAAAGCCAAAAGTGCTTCTTTAGCAGTTTTTAAATGACATTACAGATCTTCAGGAAAAGGTTGGCATATTAAGTCCAAAGAGATCCAAAACGTGCTCTAAACACCCTTGTCGTGAGTCTTCAGCCTCAAGACTGCAAGTGAGCAGGATGAAGAGATGCACTTTTTTCCTCAATAAGAGCTGCTGCATCTCTTTCCATCATTGCTGCTGTTCTTGGGCACAACTGTGTAACTCCTGGTGTAATGGCAGTTAAGCTGGACACTGTGCCCAGGGTCGGTGTAGGTTTGATGGGCATGGGCACAGCAGGCAAGCTCTGGGTTCCAGGATGATGATGGTAAAGCCCCTTCACTGCCACACTGAATGGGGGATAGTCTGATGACACTGGCTCGGACAGCATGCCAACGTGTGGCCACACAGAATTGACCATACCACCCAGCTGAGGGGGCATCGGATAGCCCAGGTGATGCATGACCGATGCAATAGGTAAACCACTAGCCATCACTCCTTTATAGTCTCGGCCGATCAGACTCTCGATGGCAAACGGATGCTTAAAGCTGCCGGTCTGCCCACCACTGAGTGTGTAGCTCTGGAAGTGGGAAAGTCGGCCCATGGTGCCCAGGTATTCTGGATGTCCCACACCCAGCTTCCCCGAATGATGGTGGGACTGATGCAATGAGTGCTGAGTATGATGGTGAGAATGGTAGGAGTGTAGCAAGGGGCTACTCTTGCATGCCGAATGTTCTACTCGAAGGAGCTTAAAACGTTTGCGGCGGCGCAGGAAGCTGCCATTCTCAAACATGTCTCCACAGTCTGGATGCAGGGCCCAGAAGCTGCCCTTGCCTGGCTGGTCAGGGCGTCGAGGGATCTTAATGAAGCAGTCGTTGAAGGAAAGGTTGTGCCGGAGTGAGTTTTGCCAACGCTGAGTGTTCTCTCGGTAATATGGGAAACGATCCATGATAAATTTGTAGATGTCACTGAGAGGGAGCATCTTCTCAGAGCAGCTTTGGATGGCCATGGCAGTCAGAGAGATGTATGAATATGGAGGTTTCTGGTCACTGTAGGAGTTCTTCCCTGGCCGGGGCATGGCTTTTTAAATTCTCAGAGCAATCAATCAGAAGCAAGCCAGCATATTCTCTGTTTAAATAAATAAATAAAATAAAAATAATATGAACATTAAAATATATATATATATATATATTTTTTTTTTTTTTGCTTTCAATTATTATTTAGCACACTATAGCATTAGTTTATTTTAGACAACTTCACCTGTTTGTATTTTTACATCTGCTTTATATAACCGTATGGATACATTTCCTAAAGTAAAAAAAAAAAAAAAAAAAAAAAGTTAAATAAAAATAATAATAATTATAAAAAAAATAAATATTAACACGAGTAAGACAAAACAATGTAAAACAGAACGAATCATTTACAAAGTTACCTCTCTTATGATACTCCTCAAGTGCCTGCGACACAGGTGTCCTCTCAGAACGCAAGAACTTCTCCTGCAGGGGATGCATGAACTTGGCTTAGACACACAGAGGATCCGCGACGCTTTTGTAAGAATGGCAGAGGTCCAGACCCCCAGCTAGTTGCGTTTTATTATGATGACACTGACTTTTGGACGAATAAGGGGTAAACAGGGGAGTGTCTAAATTCATATGCGTTTAGACCCATTCATCTCCACCAATCAGAGGCAAAGAGCTGCGCGCACACTAATGAGTCTGATAATGATAACACACATTGCAAGACTAATGCTATGCATGTTGGATTTCATGCGCTAGAAATAAAGAGCTGACATTATTTTAAACGTGTCGAATTCCAGAAAAAACTATATATACTTCATGTTTACGTTCACTGTATTGTGTTATTTTTATCTCTCTCTCACAAAAACTTGTCATGTAAGAGTAAAAGTAAATCAATTTGTACGACGAGACGGGCATTCCTGGTACAAGCCAAAGTATTTATCTAATTAAAATGGTTATATTATTATTTGGTAATCTGTTATGTACGCATATTTTATGCTGTTTATTGTACCAACATCTAAAATGAGTGAGTTTCAGTGTTACGCCACAGCTTATGAAGATAAATTGTACATGTATAGAATATTAAAATTATATGGTAAAATCTGCACTACAATATGAACAATTCTTTGTTGTTGTTCTGCGAGACTAATGACTGATATGAAAAATTAAAATATTTTACAGTGAAGTGGTTCATCTGTTCTCAATAGACTGTTTTAACATGAAAAGAATCATGAGAATACAAACGTGTAATTACATTAAATCTTTATTTTCCCTTTACTTCAGTATATCTAACAAATGCATATTATCTTATATGTTGTTTAATTATGCACACTATGTTATATATATTTTTTATTTAAGTAACATTTATGTTATTCTGAAATTTGATATAATAACATATCCATTTGACTGTTAAGTTTGTAGTCTTCCAAATGCCATCAAAGTTTATGCATGCGTTAATAATTTCTGTCCTTGCTCCCACGTAGTTTAGCCTGCAAACATATTGCAAACAAATTTATAGACTCTTTCACTATTCCATTCTTCTGAGTAATTTCCTTTTTTTTTTTTTTGTATTTTGTTTAATTTTAATTTCATTTTATTTTGTTGTGATAAGCTGATTCAAAAGCTGAAAGCGCACGTTTACAAGCACCAAGAGCGCGCCAGTTTTCATCAGGCCGAGAAAAAAAAGTTAACCTGTCAAGCGGTTTGCGCTTTACACGGATTTCACAAGGATAAACGCTTCCCCACAAAACCTGAGAACATTTACTCCAGTAAACAGAATAACAAAAGCGCCGCCGCTCTTGTGCGGCCAGGTGTCACGGCACTGTCCCACCAGGCGCCTTCTTCACTTGGGTTCCCGGCGGGTAGCGAATACATTACATTAATTAAGCCTTCTGTGATTTACCTTCCAGAGAGAGATGTCCAACACTATAATTAAAGGCGTAGTGGTTATATTAGAGATGAATATTCAAAACGGTGTCAATTAATTAGCCAACAGATCTTTCTCATTATGTTCCTGAAGAGCTCTAGTTTTCTCTAGTTTAAAGGGTCACTGGCGAGCGAGTCGCGTGCATATTTCACACGCGGCGACACTCAGCGTCATTACCCTCCGGGCTAAATGTATTTTGAAATTCAACTTAAGCGCCGAGCCGCCGAAGAATAACGTGTATTTAAAAGCGCCTTTGACACGAATCATGTGGAGCTCTTGGCACAGGAAAGGCCCTTCGATGCAGCAGCGGGAGCGCGCGCGTTCCTCCTCACCGTGTTGTTTAGATCAATATTAAACCTAATCCCACAAAGCGCAGTGTTAAGTAGACAACACACTGATATGCATAAGAAATTAATTAGTCGAGTTTTCGCTGCATTCAACTCCTGGACAAATAACAACTTGTAAAGCGCACCTTCTGGGCATATTGAACATATGCTGGAATTAGCCTTAATTGACTAATTACATAAATTACTCATTAATTTTACAGCACATCAATTATAAAAGATGTATCAATTAATTTGGCATAAATTAAGAGCTGAACGTGGTAAAAACGGAGATGGGGAGATGAGTGCGCTATTGCGAGGCTGAGCAGGGAGGGTCGAGGCGGGAGGGGGCGTCGGCTCTGGGCCGCTACGGGGGGTGGCGATGAATGCTGGGGGCTCGTCTGTTTGTTGCAAGATGCTAATAAATATTTTTCAGCTTTGGGCGAGAGATTCTGACTAACGTCGTACAATAGAAAATAGAGAATCGGTAATAATAATAATGTTAAAGACCCCTTACTTAGTGAGAATGGTAGCGGTTGCCGCAAGGGTGAAGCATTTAAATCAATTAGAGTGATCCTATTGGGAAATGAGACTTTGGCACCAGCAAGAGGACTTCTTGGCCTTCAAATGATTTATTGATGCCGATTAACATATGAGTTTCTCATCACACTCAAAGTGATCAAGTTCATCTGTTTAATGTCTCATTTTAAGGCAGTCCTGGTCCTCCATTTACACCTTTATAAATTCAAGATTTTTTATCAGAGGGATGTTTGGTTATATTAACCCTAAAGCAAAGTTTTAAGATTATGCTTTATCTGTCCACAAACTCCGACACAGATGATATTTTGACACTTGGTTTACTGTATAGGCTTGTCCTTTCTCGTTGCCTCTGGTTTATATTTTTAATATAGACAAACTGATTCATCTTCTTACAGTACCTGCAGCTAGTTGATATACACAACAGACTATACAACCTATTCGCCTACAGATTTTAGTTTTCGGTACACACAGACTCTCTCATCCTTACTTACATTTTTTTCACTCACACACATTAAAACTATCTATCTCTATCCCCTGGTGAGAGCTTAGTGAATCGTGCAGTTGGTATACAATCCATTCACACCCCCAGACACACTAAATGGGCCCTCAGTCAGTGGCCCTTACCCGCCAAAGCCTTTCCCTACTGTTATTCCTTACCTTAAAAATGCTTATTCCAATTCATTAACCATACCTATTTTACTATCAACATTTCTTCCTACACTTTAATGCCTGTTGTACAGACCTTTAAAAATAAATTTTGTTCATCATAAGCTAAATACAAACCAGTCAACCACTGACTTTGGTATTTATGTAACATTTTCCCTTCTTCAATCTCAAAATGTCCTATTGGCAGTTGGCTATTTGCACTTAATAAATAAATATGTTTTTGCTTGTTCAAACTACTTATTAAAATGAGCTGAAACAACACAGTTGTTGAGATATTGGGATAACGTAACTTTTTTATGTTCAATCCACATAAATTTGTTAAAATTGTTAAGTTAACTTAATCAATTAATATTGGGACAACCTAAATATTTACAGTGTGTGCCGAAAATATTTGGTAAAAATGTATAATAATATATTATTAAAAATTCTATTCTATTCTATTCTATTCTATTCTATTCTATTCTATTCTATTCTATTCTATTCTATTCTATTCTATTCTATTATTCATTCATTCATTCGTTCATTCATTCATTCATTCATTTTCTTTTCAGCTTAGTCCCTTTATTAATCTGGGGTCATCACAGTGGAATCAACCACCAACTTGTCTGGCATGTGTTTTACATAGCGGATGCCCTTCCAGCTGCAACCCATCACAGGGATTATATTATATTATATTATATTATATTATATTATATTATATTATATTATATTATATTATATTATATTACAGGTTATTGAATGCTTAATTGACTTGTGAACATTAAAGTATGCAATTTTTTTCAGCGAACCGCTTCTTTAAAGTTCCAAGGAGATCTTGACTGCAATACAGTTCCATTTCACTGTGCTGAATGTTCTCAGTTATTTCACAGCGTATAACCATCAAAGATTTTTTGGAAAAATTTAAATAAAATACAATATACTAAAATCCACTGAAACAGTTGGGCTAAACACTAAAAAGTAAAAAAAAAAAAAAAAAGAAGGGAGGGGGGGGTGGAGTAGTATACATACACACATATTTATATATATGTAGAAAAAACTTTATATAGATCAGTAAATCAATCACCAAAAAAAAAAAAAAAAAAAAAAAACACACACACACATCAAAAACCCAAGTACAATCCAAAGAAAAATATGATAACAAAGTCTGCTTATTGACCTTTTTTTACTCCAATCCGATGGACCCTTAAACATAAAAACTCTTTTAACCCATAGATTTTTTACAACAAGGAACAAAAAATTAAATCTGAACAGAATGTCTAACTCGATAATTTTAGGAAAAACAAACAAAATATTGTTGTAAATAGTAAGGATACTCAAAATAAATACATTTAAATATAAATTGAAGCCAATGAATATGTCGTCTTGTGTGCAAAGTTGGCCACTGCAACAGATCATACATTAAACATGATGTGTATTAAAAGAACAACCCAGAACAAATCTGCAAAGTTATTACATGCCGTATTAAGGGGAGCAAGATCTAATTTTGATGCACTCTGATAAACAATATTGCAATAATCAAATATTGGCAAACTAAGTTGAAGAGCAAGTTTCTTGCGAACCTTAAATGAAAAACAATGCCTAGACCGATATAAGGTACTAATTCCAAAGTTAACTTTGCTTACGATATGATTAATATGTGATTTATAGGAAAGTTCAGAATCAAGCCACACTCCAAGGTATTTAATTGTATCGACTTCATTCAAAGAAGTACCGTCATTACATAATATAGAATAAGAGTAACTTTTTGATTTAAGTTTTCGTCTGGAACCAAAAACCATGATGTAAGACTTTTCAAGAAGTTTTATTAAGCTTTAGTTTATATCTAACAGCCAATTTTGTAAGAGATTAAAATACTGAAGGGACAACTGAATTTGTGAGATATCAGAATCTGACACATATATGATGGTATCATCAGCATAAAGTTGGACACTACGTTTATTGAGAATCAACAGTAAATTATTAACATAAATAGAGAAGAGAAGTGGTCCTAGTATTGACCCCGAAGAACACCTCTTTCTTGGACCAAAAAGTCAGAGTTAAACCCTTTTAATACTACACATTGTTTTCTATTATGCGTTAAACCACATACTTGCATTTTCAGACAGACCAATGGCACGAAGCTTATCACAGTAATTAT